ATGCCAGTTGCCCCTTGCACCCAGGACTTTTTGTTGGCTAGCCTCCCTTGAGGTGTACGTAGGACCGAGTGTTGTGCTCCAGTGTCGACAAGGAAGTTAACAGGAGTCCCCTCCACTCTAAGAGTTACCCTGGGCTCGGGGAGGGGGTCCGAACCCCGACCCCCCTAATCGCTCAGTCCTCCCAGCTCTAAGACCTCCACCCGGTCCGTTTTGTTTCCCTTTTTACCGGCCCTCTTTGGGCAGTCCCGGGCCCAGTGTCCTATCTCTTTGCAATAAGCACACTGGTTCCGTTGCAGCTTTTTCTTCCTGCCCCGGGCGGGCCTCTTACCTCCTTCTTGGTCATCGGCAAGCTGGCGAAGGTGGCGGGTCCGCTCCCCAGGGTTCTCCGCAGTGGTGGCTAGCAGAATCTTGGCCAGGTTTTGGGTCTGCTTGTCACTGGCAGCCACCATGGCGCGGGCTTGCCTTTCCTCAGGAGACTTTCGGTTGTTATACACCTTCTCAGCCACTTCCAGCAAGTCCCGAAAACTCTTTTCCCCTAGTCTATCTATCCTCTGCAGTTTCTTTCTAATGTCTGTGGCTGACTGGTTTATAAAACTCATGACCACAGCCGCCTTATTTTCTGGAGCTTCTGGATCCATGGGGGTATAGGTGTGATATGCCTCCATGATCCGTTCCAGAAAGGCAGCTGGAGACTCATCTCTTTCCTGCTGTACGCTCCCTACCTTGGTCAAATTGGTAGGCTTCCTAGCAGCCATGCGGAGACCCCCCATTAGAGTCTGACGGTAGATTCGGAGCCTCTCCTTACCTTCTGCCGTGTTGAAGTCCCAGTCAGGTCTAGTTAAGGGGAAAGAGACATCTATCTGTGCCTGGTTGGTGGTTGGATTTCCGTCTACGCCGGCAACCACCTTCCGGGCCTCATTGAGGATTCTCTCTCTCTCCTCCGTTTTGAACAGATCCTGTAAAAGCTGCTGACAGTCATCCCATGTGGGCTGATGGGTGAAAAGAACAGAATCTAACAAATCAATAAGCGCCCCCGGCTTCTCGGAGAATTTAGGGTTCTGTGTCTTCCAGTTATACAAATCACTTGTAGCGAAAGGCCAATAGTGAAAAGGTTGATTGCCATCCGCATCTGGGGGTCCGGCGGCCCGTAAGGGCAGGGTCTTGATAGTAGAATCGGGTGCGGCGACAGACAGCTCCCGCTGTGCTCTCAGCCGGGTGAGGGGCGGGCTTCCCATCGGAACTGCGGCCATACCCGGAACCGGAACTGCCGGAACCGGAACAGCCGGAACCCCGCTCCCGGCCACACCCGGAACCGGAACTGCGTCAGCTTCCCGCGACGGGGCAGGATCGACTCTCTCCGGCAACCTGGGGAGCTGATACGGGGGAGGAAAAATTAACTCTTCTTCATTACCCCCCTGCAAAACCGGGTAGAGGGGAGCCGGAGCCGATGGCAGGGTGGTTTTTTTCTCCTCCTTTTTCTTCTTCTCCGTTTCCTGCAAGGCAAGAATGGGTGCCGGCTCCGGCGGGCGTGGAGCCAGGAAGGGCTTGAGCCAGGAGGGAGGGTCCTCCACGAGGTCCTGCCAAGTAATAATGTAAGGGAGCTGATCGGGATGACCCCCCTTCGGCCGAGAAACGATTTCCCTGACCCGGCGAATGGTGGGGAGGTCGAAGGTCCCCTCCGGCGGCCACCCAGCATTGAGAGCCGGCCACTCGCTGGAACAGAAAGTCTGCCATCGACCCTTCCTTACTGCTACACTGAGGTTAGTAGCCCTTCCCTTAACCTCTTTAAAATGATCAACCATAATACTTAAAGGAGTTGTCTGAGTCTGTCCCATAACGTCCGTCCAGTGAGTCCACAAAATTAGACAAAAGAACACAGACACCAAACAGACAAAGACACCTAAGAACAGCCTTCCGACCCCGCGGAAGATGGACGATGTATGCCAGCTGGCGGGAGCGACCCGCCTCGTCCCAGAGGTTTGAGGGGTTTTCACACCCCTCCAGATGGAAGGCCAAGGCGTCCCCTGACTCTTCCTGCCTGTGATCCGCCCGTGCGTCCACTTAGATCTTATCAGGCACAGATTACAGAAGCGAGCTCCCACAGAACAGAACAGACAACACACAGACACTTACCGCGGTTAGAAGACCCTCCGGAGTGGGGTCCCTTGTGGGAATTGGGGATCCCGGGAC